AACTAGTCTGAACATCCTTGAATGCTGAGCTATGCTAAATGTGTTGCTTGTCCAGATGAGCTGACAAGCAATAGTATGTTATCCAAGCAAAAACTGTGCTTTACACATCTCACAGATGACATGCATTGTACAAGTAGACCATGGAGATCTTTGGTGCCAATCTAGTTAAGTTTATGAAACACAGCTCTATGAGCTTTTCAGATTACTTGGAAGATTTTTCCAACATTACAACATATGTATATTTTTCCAAATGTTTTAATGTGACTATAGTTTTAAACCTTAATAACTTCCCTCATACCTGTTTGTCATTCATTGAACACAGCTGTTCTTTATTAATTTACAAGATGAAAACAGGCAGAGAAAGGGTTTTATGAGAATAGGTGAGTGTCTCATATGAGCATACATATTCTAGGCATATTCTGTACATTCATTCATTTTAAAGTAAAAAAAAATGTAACTTCTATATAGATTTGATTTGTTAAAAAAAAAAATATTTACAACTGATACAATGGACATAAACAAAATAATTAGTTCAAAAACAGATTTATTAATAAACAAAACAACACTACACCACTTTGATTAGCCTAACTGAAATGAATATAATAATATATGTGGCCATGAGAAAATGATGTTAACACAGGATCTTGAGGCCACAACATAAGAATGCTGTAATGATCTCATAGCCATGACATATTTTCACATTCCCACAAGTTAACATGTCCACAACAAAACTAAGTGAACCACCATGCAGTCATAGAAATATGAGTTCAGATCAAACCAAAATGATTATTAAAGTGTGCTTTGAGGATGCATTCTATTTGATGTGGTGATTAATAACTGCTACTCATTGAAGTATAATGTTTGAGATTCTAACGCTTTACTAACTTATTAGTATTCAACCAATTTCATAAATTCCATTTAATAAATAAGTATTGTCTTGTTATATTATTGTAACAATGAGTCTGCGGAGTGAGGATCCATTTGCAGCTTTATTAACACCAGATAAATGGTAAACAGTAAAGCAGCCATAAGGGTGAGACAGGAGCGTAAACAGTAAGAGGCAATGGTCAGGGCAGGCAGCAAACAAACAGAGTCCAAACAACAGGCAAGAGATCGGGGCAGGCAGCAGCGAAACCAGAAACGATAAACAGTCCAGGTAATACACAGAAAAAAACAATCCACAATAAAGAAACGCTCAGTATGTCGCACAGGCAAACAATACTTTGCAGTGCGTGTAAGTGAGTGAGTAACCTTATAGTGCTCCTGATGGAGAACAGGTGCGTGTGTGTAATTAGTTCCAGGTACAGGGCTTGTGGGAAATGTAGTCCATGGTGACAATTGATCGGTTTCGTGACAATTATGTTCTCACACTGAATTATCAGCTTTATCACTATTATCTAAATTACCACTAAATACCAGATGTCATTTCCCATCGTAAAACTAGAAACCTTCAATTGTTTCCATAGTCATAAGTTAACAACCCAGTATGAATAATATTTAAATATATGACATCAGTGTAGTTACAAGTAAACAAACTTTTGGTTACAATGTGTATAATCAGTGTATTTATACTGTTGTTTTCTCCATGTGTTTCATCTGTGTAGATTCTTGACTGGTTTGTTCAGATTTGTTTGGCCCTGCAGCATCTCCATCAGAAGAACATTCTTCACAGAGATATAAAACCTCAGATAGACGCCGGTAAAAGCTCAATAAATCATTTGACACCAAGCCAAATGTGTATAATTTATGGGTTTTTCTGTTCTAATTCTAGAATGTTTTTCTGACTGAGGGTGGTCACATTAATCTAGGTGATTTTGGATGCTCAAAACCATTGGAAAGTAAAAAAAAAAAAAAAACTAAGATTTTTATAAAAGTAAATTTCCTTATCACCAGTTTGATTTTTCTTTTTCAGAGCTGATGCATATACAAAATCAGTTGTGGGTGCAGATCTCTATATCAGCCCTGACATTTCAGAAAAAAAGTGATTCCAAAAGGTATATTTTTTGTAAAAAAAATTGTAACACAATACAGAACTTTGAATGTACATTAAATACTGCTATGTTCAGCATGCTTGATTTATAGATGTCCAGCATGTTTCTAAAATCTTTCATTGTTATTATAAAATCTCCTTGCTAAATTTCTTCATATACAGAAGCTTTCTGAATCAAGAGAATCAATAGCATTCCCAATGAACTCTGAGTACATCTACATTCCTATATCTCAAACAGCAGAGTATGGCAGGTCGTTTCTTAAGGAATGCCTTAACTGATAAAAATGTATAGCTTGAATGCAAAGTCAGTCACTTGGAATATACGCATCTGCTAAAAGCATAAATGTATTTTGGTATTAACTTATTTGACGGACAAAGTCTGTTGATGCTTGCTTTAGCATTGCCATTTTTTTCTATGCATTAAATGATAGGTGCATTCAAACAATTAATTAACAATTGAGAGACAAAACATTAGACATATTATTGCCTTTGCATCTCACAAGCTTGAATTCGTGACACATTGGCTGATAATTCAGTGAAAGAAATATTTACATGATAAAACTGAAATAATTTA